GGTGTGGTCAAAAGCGATAGTGTGGTGGTTAATGGACTGGCTACCAGGAAAGGGAGGTTCTGGCAAAAAAAAGAGGGGAACACCTGGTTCTTAGCTCAGGCCTTCTGGCTTTGAGCTTCGAACCCTGTAATTCAATGCATGGATAACAGTAAGTGGGTAGTTGTCAATTTTTTTTTTTTTTAAAGAAGTTGTACCTTTTTACCCTCTTGATCACAACTCTACCCAGAACTCCAATGTACAAGGCACATGACAGCAGAGTGCCTCCTGGATGTCGGGAGGGAGAGAGCCAGAAGTCACGCAGAACCCAGGCCTCAGTGTGTCTCCTCATCTCCCAGGGTCTTCTCCACCAGTGCTCAGGGCCTCCTGGAACTTGGTTTGAAGCCCACTGAGCTAGTGCTCAGTTCTCGTGTTTCTTTAAAATGCCATGAGGAAGACAGCTAGTAGAAGGATTAGGAGACATCTATTTCTAATATGGGGTAATCACCCTCCTGTGATTTCAGTTGAATGCGGGTCAGTCTGCATGGGCATGGCATCCTTCTCTGTTACATCCTCAGAGGTTAACCATAGCCGAAAGCTGTAGTAATCACTCTCAGCGCATAGGCACTGTATCACTTTATATCATCACAAGAAGGGAGAATTCAGTAGCAAGATGTTTTGAGAATGAGACCACATTCGCATAACTTGAGGGGGTGTTACCAGCCACTCAGGTTCGTAAGTCCAGGGGTACTATACACCTGGGGGCATTTGGTAGAGAAGTCTTATTTCTTCTGAAGATAATGCACTTTATTGACAATTTATTCTTTATCCACAGCATCATCCTATCCTGTTCTATTTTCACTACTGTTTTCCGTTCATTATTAGTAGCAAGGCAAAAATGGAACTCTTCTCTTAAAAAGAAAGGAATGCTGGTGTCATGCACATGTACGAACTACCCACAATGAATGTACTCATGATGTCCAACAATAAACATATACTAATAAAATAAAATTAAATTTAAAAAAATAAAAGAGAGACACTGGTCGCCATACCATGTCACTCACTCCTCCAGAGGAATTGACTGGAAGTAGCATTGGGTAAGAGTTAAAAGAAGTCCTGGAATCAAGTCTAATCCCAGAGCTGGTAAGTGTGGTGACCTTGGGT